ACTTTAAGCCTAACCTATCCACAGACTGTTAAACCTAAACTTTAAGCCTAACCTATCCACAGACTGTTAAACCTAAACTTTAACCTAAAGGTTAGGTAGAACATCATTGTTGTTCGACGCTGCAGTGCACATATTTTCACATTGAGACAGGTCTAATTAGGGAGTACCAATAAGGCAGCCGTTGCACCGCAGTCCTACCAAAGGGCAATCAGCAATCCAGGGAATAAATAGAGATCAGTGGGAACCTGCAGGCTGATGTACGGCGGCCATGAAAGAGATTGTCTCCTCCGTGCATCAATGGCCCCATCTGACATCTTCTTATCCTATTTTATCGTTTTTATACCTAATTTTGTCTAAATGTCTAAATTATTGATCTGCGTCAGGATAAAATGAACCGTCTTTCAATAAATTGATGAAAGATGAAGTTGAATCCTTAAAAACACGAAATATAAGGAAGCTAATTTTTATTCAAATCTGTGTAGTTTCCTTTAATCTGAGCAGGTAAGAGAAATTTGAATTAATAATTTATATTAGACAGATAGGACTGGACTCATGGTCCAATAAATACATACATAAAATAAGATAAAAATAGTTAATGGTAAAAAGCACAATAGAAGTACCATTATCGACTAAATAGGATCTTTAAGAAGACAGGAATACCAGTGTCTCCACAGCTTAGACCGATATCGGATCGCACTACGTGTGGTATCAGTAAGTGACAAGATAATATTGTTTCCAGATGCATTTAACCTACAAATAAACTTATACATTAACTTTGGTAAAACAGCTTGTAGGGTATTGACTCTTGCTGTGACAAACATCTCACTTGCAGTGGACCATCTTGGCCGTTTCAAAAGTAACCGCATAGCATCATTATAGGCCACCTTCATCCTTTGCAGGTTGATTTTTCTATATGTTGTCCACAGGTGAGCAGTGTGCAGAGAGGTACAATATGCATTAAACAGTTCCACTTTGACTTTATCGGTACACCGAATTTAATTAATAGAAACAAAATAAAGCTCCTTTATCTTATTTCTAGAGCATTACATCTAATGACCTTATTTTGAAGGCAAAAACACTAATTTTACCAACTAATAAGAGCAAATTAGAGGATTGAAGGAGCTGTTCGCGTATTTACTGTGGTGAATGTATGTCTGCAGCTTTCCAGGAGGAGCCAGGAACCATTTCTGAACTTCAAACCCATCTAACAACCACAACCTTCGATTCATGTGCTCAGAACCCGGCAGAACACCAAAACGTTCGGCGGTGCGGATGGTGAAAAAAAGAGAAGCAAGACCGCAAACTCTGATGGTGGTTTTATTCTCCCCCACCAGGAACGATTCAAATAAAACCATTGAGAGACAAATCCGATTACAGCAAACGATTGTGTGTGTGTGTGTTGGGGGGGGGGTCACAATCAAAATACATTTTAATGTGTTTTGATCGTGACTCAACCGTATGCAAAGCGGCAGAGAGCAGGAAAAACCTGAAAACAACAACCTGACCGAGTTCCACAAAATAAAAAAATCAACCAACCGAATGGATCAGGTGACCCAGAATGGTTCTACCCCCATCCACACACACACACACATACACACACACACTCATCAAGATGCCATCCTTCACACCTTTAGCTAGAACTCCCAGTGAATCAAACTGGCTTTTAAAGGAGAACTTTTCCACAGCTGAGGACTGAATTCAACCCACTGAATGCATGGAGGCGCAGCAGGATCCTCCTGTTTTAAATAGATAGGCTGCCACATTTGCCTACGGCTGCCTTAGAGTAACTGTGGTCCACTGTCGGTTACAATGAACCGTGGAGGGAGGTGGGGGGGAGGCAGGTTGATAGTAAATGAGCCTCTAAGAGGAAGTTGAATGAATGCTGTTATTATTGAGGCGTACTTCCCCTATTTCATCCATTCAGCCCTAAGTGCTTCTACAAAACGCCGTTAAATTCCAGCCGCGCCTGGAAGCAGAAATTCCCATGTGCGGCGCAGTGCGGTGGGTGTCTCCTTTTTCTCTGTACCTCTCCCGCTGCGGCCGACGAAGCGCAGGTCGTTGAATCGAGCCACCTGGTTCTTGATGACAGCCGTGGCGTTACGAAGCTCGGCGGAGTAGTTCTCGTCGTTTCCCGCCATCACCGTCACCAGGGTCCCATCAGGGACGTCGCCCAGGGTCACAATCTGGAGGAAAGAGTCGTTGTCAGAGATGTATAGTGCCACTATTTGAATCAAACTTTGATCTTTCTTGGGTTTCCTCACGTTTTCTGCCTAGATCTATTGTCCATTTAACTGAACAGAAACATTGATTTTGGTCTTTAAAGACCAACACAGTTCTAATCCATAAGTATTCAACAGTATTGAAAAGTTTTAACACCTCATGAAGTTGTCCTGCTTTGTCTTGATCTACCGCCAACTTTCAGTCTGAACAAAAAAGTTCATGACAGTGAAAATGAGGCAAAATCATCACCAATAACCATTATAGGATCAAGTTGGACAATTGTCTTAAGGCCCCTTTGTGTGACCAATGGTCCTACTATGTCTCTAACTGATTTAGAGGACAAGAAAACATGAAGATGTTCTCTGAAGGTCTCAGAAAACAACAGAGACCAACCAGCACCATAGAGTAAGGAATGGGGGCAGACTTGCCAGGGAAAAGGCTCTGGGGTCTACAACAGAGGATGGATCTCCTCCAGACCGACCAGGACTTGGACATTCACCAAGATGAAGGTGAGCACTGATCAGAGAGGATGAGCATAATGAATCATGGTTACCATGATCACACTTGGAAGAAGGTACTTTAGTCAGATACCAAAACTGAAATTTTGGCTTTAAGTAAAGAAGAAGGAACGACGCCAGCCTCATTATGAGGGAAGCTGGTCAGAGTAGATGAGAAGATAGGTGGAGCTAAATCCAGAAGAATTCGGAAAGGAAACCTGTTGGCGGTTAAAGAAAACTTGACACCGTGGTGTAGTGTCACCTTGTAGAAGAAGAACCACCATGGAAATCCAGACCCAGAGAACTAAACAACCAACCAAAACACTAACCAACCAACCAAAACACTAACCAACCAACCCAATAACCAAACAACCAACCAAAACACTCACCAACCAACCAAACAACCAACTGAAACACAACCAACCAACACAGCAACCAACTAACTAACTAACCAAAAAACTGACCAACCAACCAACCAACCAACCAACCAACCAACCAACCAACCAACCAACCAACCAACCCAATAACTAAACAATCTACCAAATAACCAAACAACCTACTGAAACACTAACCAACCAAACAGCCAATCAACAACTAACCAACCAAAGAACTGACTAACAAAAACATCTGATAAAACCTTTAATAACTCCACTGAACTGGGATCCAGAACCATGTAATATTCTGGGAGATCTAAGATTGAAAGCGGAACTCACCTCTTTTTAAAGGTTAGAACTGACTATAAATTTTGGGTTTTCATCCTGGCTGTTGTTTCAAGTATGTAAAATAAATATTAATGAATAATAATTGATACTGACTGATAGATACATTTGTCAGTCAGATCGACATCGCCCACATCTTTCCTACCAACCAACCAACCAACCGATCAGTGTATTTATTGAACGTGCAACTGACCCAACAACTGAAGAATCAATAGATCAACCAAGCAAATAACCAACCCACCAACCTACAAAGGGATCATTTGATTTTATTGAATTCTGACCAGTTTATTTCTATAGCTCCAATTCACATCATGTCATCTCAGGTCACTTTCCAGTTCACCAGATCATCCAGTCAGATTGATTATTTTCTTTTCTATCTAAGGAAAACCAGCTGATTGCATCGACTCATTGACTATTCAGCAATCCCTCATACTAAGCATGCTTGTATGGACAGTGGAGGGAAAACTCCAACCAACCAACCCATTAACCAGGCAACCAACCAAAACACTAAGCAACCAACCTACCAAATAACCAGACACCAAACCAACACATCAACCAACTAAGCAACCAAAGAACTGACCAACCAACCAACCCAGTAACCAAACAACCAACCAAAACACCAACCAACCAACCAACCAACCAACCCACCAAATAACCAAACAACCAACTGAAACACCAACCAACAACCAACCAACACATCAACCAACTAACCAACCAAAACTCTAACCAACCAACCTACCANCAACTGAAACACCAACCAACAACCAACCAACACATCAACCAACTAACCAACCAAAACTCTAACCAACCAACCTACCAAATAACCAAACAACCAACCAATCAAACCAATAACAAAACAACCGACCAAAACAATAACCAACCAACACAATAACTAAACAACCAAGCAAAACTCTAACCAACTAACCAAAACACTAACCAACCAACTAACCTACCAAATAACCAAACAACCAACAAATCAACCAACCAAAAAACCAACCCAATAACCAAACAACCAACTCAATAACCAAACAACTAACCAAAACACTAACCAACCAACCAGCCAACCAACAACACAGCACCCAACTAACCAACTAAAGAACTGACCAACCAAACAACCAACCAAAACACTAACCAACCAACCTACGAAATAACCAACAACCAACCAATCAAACCATAACAAAACAACCAACCAAAACAGTAACCAAACAACACACCTACCAAATAACCAACCAACCAAAAAACTAATCAACCAACCAACCAACCAACCAACCAACACATCAACTAACTAACCAACCAAAGAACTTACCAACCAACCAACTGACCAACAAATCAACCAACCAAAACACTAAACAACCACCCAAAAATAATCAGCCAACTGACCAAATATGGATTGACAAGCTAATTCAAGTCTGTGTTTGGCAAAGAGCAAATCCTCAAAAGGTTCAGGGGTGTGAATACTTTGACCAGTTTAAAGCTAAAGGTTGTCTCACCTGTTCACCACCTGCTCCTACGGAGCCTGATTTCCATATAATCTCTAATCTGGTCGGAGCATCAGTTTGCAAATGTCCACTATCGTCACGCTGCTACGGAAGGCCTCTCTTCTTTCTAAGCAAACTGAGCTGGAGGACAGGCTGCCGGGTTAAATATTAGCACCGTTCCAACGGCCCACATGTTGATGTTTGAGTGCAAACACATTTCTGTTGGAATAATGTATAAAAACCTGATCCGTCTGCAGAAAAAAAGCGCATTTCTATACGCGCGGCGTCCATTTTCAGTAAGAGGTCGTTATAGCCGCTCATTATCCTCCGTAATGAAGCATAATGCACCGAATTCACAAACAAGCCGAGAAAATTCATGTGGGAAGACTAATGCATAAAACTCAATAAAATCAATCTTCTGCAGCTTCCAGATGCTTTTCCATAAAAGCATGGAGCCTCAAAGGGGGAGAAAAGCTTTCCCCGCTCGTTCACATGTGAGTGAATCCACTGGAAACCAATTAAACGGCAGACCGGGAGCTCCCGGAATGCCCTCCACCACCAAAGGAAGAGAATTCAACCAGGAAAAGCTTCAGGAACGTCAGGCGGATCAGAAAAAATACAACAAAATCATCATGGAGCCACCTTGAAGGCAATGGGGAGGGTCTTGTTGCACCTCCAGTGGGTGGGCAGCACCGAGCAGAGGAAGTTGGGGCTGTCGGTCTTCACCAGCTCGCCCGGATGATCCGAAATCACCTAAAAAGGAGCAAAGGAAGGAGACGGGCCAGATTTATTTCTAGATAATAAATCAAAAGCTGTGAATTATTAAAGAACTGCTTGCCGTACTTCAGCCATGCCGTGCTCCGCCAGACGGAATTTACCCATCGCAGCCGCCCCCCCGCCGGCCTCCTGGGCTCCTAGGGGCAAAGCCTCCGCCATTTTCCCCCCCGAGGCCAGCGAGGTGGAGGGGGGCGTGTATCGCCTGCCGGGGGCCGGATCTGGGGGAAAAAACAAACAATCAGAAAGAAATAAAAGTCTAAAAAAATAACGTTGATTTGGATCATTAATAAACACCTGAAGGACGATGAATTTATAGCTTTAAAAACGTGTTAAACGCTGACAGATCTACTTTTATCTAACCTCAAAGTATGAATATCAAAATAAAAGAAAACCACCATCAGAAATATTTGCACAACAAAATAAAAGTCCCAGCATGAATTCATTGATACTGTTAACAAAACGCTAAAATTAAAATATTAGAGGAAAAAATTTGATTTGAAAATAATTTATAGGAATATAAAGAATATAATATTAATTATAGGGCTGCAACTAACGATTATTTGGCAGATCGATTCGTCTGTCGGCTACTTTTTCGATTAATAATCTGAAAGCAAAGAAGATTTTTTTGCAAAATGAAATCAGGGGAAAATATAAACTTTTCCACTTGAGAATATTGACAGATGGAAAAATATTTTTTCTCCTAAATATTAAAGTTTTATTTTATTTTTTTTACAATTTTGATATAATTCATGCTCTAAGTGGGTGACTCTATACTGTAATATACGATTAAACGATTACTAAATTAGTTAACCATTATTTCATAATTGATCAATCCGATTATGTTTCAGCCCTAAATATCAATCCTAAAGGGAAATTAAACAATAAAAAAAAAACAAAATGGACTCTAATCACCTAAAAAACACTAAAAGCTAACAGATTTTCAGATAATTGTCCGATAAAATAAGAATAAAAATATCTTATTTCTATTTACATATATATATATATATATATATATATGTATGTATATACAAATAAACGTTACTTTAACACTTTAAAAAAGTGCCGCAGTGTATATATAAAGCGTTTATCGTCCATGCATACATGGTCTCTGTACACATGTAAATAAATATCTATATCCTGTATAGAACTTGTGGATAGATACAGACTACATTTGTTGCTATGTCCTTGTGACAGTGTAACGACAATAAAGTTGAATTCTATTCTAGTCTATTCTATACTATTCTACACTGAAAAAACAATGCAACCATCTTTGGCATTTAGTTAATCAGTTATTTTAACACGATTGCTTGATGACAACAGGGTGGGACATAAAGCAATAACTAAATATGATTAAGTAAATGCCAAAGATCTGCTCCAGTTTTACTGATTTAGATCATTTTAGACCTGCGACACGCGGCGGCCGGATGACAAACTAAAGCCTAAAATGATTCACCCACTGAAAAGCAAAGATGAAAAACAAGTGAAGCCGTTTCTTAGTGGATTTGAAGGTTTTTCTTTTCACCCCATGTCGTCGGAAGGCTTCATCACCATCACCCTCATTCATCTCCCTCATGCCTGCCCCCCCCCCTCATGTCCACATGTCCCAGTGCAGCAGAGAGACATGAAGACACTGTCCAACCTGATCCACCCGGCTGCAGGGAGCCTCATCAAACTGGATCCTTTCTTTCTATGCAGATCGGATCTATTTGCTTCAGTTCTGGATCCAGATCAATGCAGCAATCAGAACGTTTTCTGATCTCTGAATCATCTCCTTTTTGTTTTTAAAGTTGTTTGCAGGTTTAAAGACAAAACATAAACCTGTTTATCACATTAAAATGAATAAAAAAAAACCTAAAGGTTAAAAAGGTCAAACTGCGCATAGAAGAGGAAAATTCTATTTGTTAACAGAAATTTCTTTTTTTTCTGATCTTTTAATCTAACATCCAAATAAAAACACCAGAAAAATAAAGAAGCATTAAAGGAAATCCAGGTAGGATCGTTTTATTCTGAATTAATCAGAGGATTTTAAAGAGAAAAGTTTGTTTTGTTTTTAACATTAAACAGATAAATTTCCTCTTTTTGTCTCGTTAGAATTTAACCCAAAAAGTCCAACTTGTTCTGTATTTATTTGTCCCGTGTTGGACAGATGAGGACATAAAGACATGCGCTGCACGCAGGGAGCCAGAACCCGGTCCGGTCCGGTTCGGTTCGGTTCGGGGGGGGGGCCTACCGTATTTCGCATCCCACAGAAACACCATCTGTGCGCCTCGGTGCCGCGGATCCACCTCCGCTCTGCTTCAGCTCTCCGCTGCAAAATCCTGCCGACCCAGAACCTCTGCTCTCCGAACAGAACCGAGCCGAACCGAACCGAACCCGGCTTGTTGTGAGGAAAGCGGAGCTTCCCACCAAGTAGGAAGCGAAAGCAGAAGTTGGAATGGCCATCCCGCTGCAGACTCTCCGCTTTTACAGACGCGCAGCTGGATTTGCATGCAGACCGCCGTCAGCCAATCAGCGAGCTCCTCGCTTCGCGCAGCGGACCAATCAGCGCTTCGTCCGTCCGCGGGGAGCCCCGCTGCTCATATCATCGCTGAAAGCCTTAAACTAGACAGTAAACCTTAGAAACGGGTCCGATCAGAACCGGAACCGGACCGGGAGGCGAACTGGGCTCCTTCCAGAACCACAGCCGGTGTTCTGCTGAGGAAGTACCGGGCGGCTCCAGCAGGGGGCGGTGGAAGATTTTAACACGTTCAAACTGTGATCCAACCGAACTGATTCTGGTTGGAAACGGATCTGATTCACTTAGATCTATGCCACTTTCAGGTTTTAGAATAAACTACAATAATAAAAAAAGCTCAAATCATGTTAAACAATAATGTAATATGATGGGAGGTTGGAGCAGCCGCAAGGGCTGCTGGGTAATCCCAACATGGGGAAAATCTCACAATTTAATCCTAGTTTTGTGTTAAAATCGGTTGTTTATTTTTATAATCTGCTGAAGCTAAGCTATTGTTATCTTCTGGAGCTTTGAATTGTATTTTTTTTTAATCTGCACCATGAGAAAACATTTTAACCAGTTATATATAAAGGAAAAGCTTCACTTCGGAATTAAATTGAATTGATGACGTATTTACTTGCTGCTGATGTATCAGCAAAAGTATGACGATAGAACAGCTAATTTTAAATTCATTTTCTTCATATATAAATCAATTATGATGTCATAAACGTAATAATCAAATGGCAGGCTGGATTTTAAGCACATATTTTTAAATGTATATATTGACATGTCTGCATGGTTAATATCTACATCTTTTTCTGTCTTCCTTCCTCTTTAAGCTCAAATTAAAAAAAAATGTACAAAATAAATAAATGATTTCATTGGTTAATTGAGGAAGCTTCCTTCTGCTCAGCTTCTATTTTCATCTTCTTCCGTCCCTCAAACCAATCTGAGCCGCGTCCAGGTCACTGCTGTGAAGGAAGTATTCCCACAGCATGATGCTGCCACCACTGTGGCAGGTAGAATAGTTTAGGTAATGCGTCTGGTGGCTCCTTCCTCTCTCCATGATGGAGCGCTTAGAGCTCTGGGAGACGTTCCGGGTTAAACGGAACCAGAACCTCCTGCCGGCTGAGGATCCTTCTCAGACTCCCTGAATTAGTCCAGATGAAAATGAGACCCTGAGGGAAACAAACCCAGAGGAGGAAACTGATAACGGGACGGATGGAACCGGTGTTGAGTTTCAGTCCTCCAGCAGCGTAACCCGACCGTCCCGCCGTCCTCTGACCTGAAAAATCACCTTTCAAACTCATCGCCGGCCTTTTAAAGATGAAAACAGCTGGCCGCTAAGCTAACGGTTTGTGAGCTAATCAGCTGAGTCATGGTCGCTATCAGCAGCGTCATCGCCATCATCACGCCGTCACCTTGTATCTAGACAATTAAAAGTAGATCAGTTATACTCCAGGGGAAAAAGATTTTAATCTAAAAATGAGGGAAAAAAAGGGCAATAGATAAAAATTTTACTTTTAAACATCTGTTTCCCACTAGAGTTCATTTGGCTGATTAGTTTTTAACCTTTAGTCCTAATTTATCAACAGATTGGAATCATTAGACGCTTTTATCTGTTTCTAGACCAGGTCAAAGGGAACCAAACCTGACTTTACTTAGTGCATATTATTGAACCTCAAATGCGGATAGAAAAAAATGCTAACTCCAACTCTCGTCCCATAAAACAAACATTCATACAGTTTCATACATAAACTACTGCAATAAAAATAAAAGAAAATAAAATTATTTAATAAGTTGAAAAACATAAAGATTGCAAAAAATGCTTTTTTTTTTTTTAACAATGTCAAATATTCAATATCTACAGAGGTCTAATGATCGAGCCCAGAACATGTTGTAAACAGCTGTGTTTTCTTCTTCTTCCATGGTGTTATTAGTGCCCTACACCACCCCCTAGTGTCAGCCAGCGGGAAAAAGCCACATAAAGACTAACTCCTTCAATCAACTGAACAATCAACCTCCCGGTCTCCCCTTGAGGTCGTAAAACTTAAAGCTTTTTAAACTTTAATAAGAGGATTAAACTGTTTGAAGTTTTGACACTTTAACTTGAGTCTAGACAGATTTAGGGAGCTTTGCCAGAACCACAATGGAGTCAGCAAGTTTGGTCCTTAAACATGATATATATCTATATATAACATTATATAACTTCCATCCCTGAATGCAGCTAACGGACGGGAGATGCCTAAAAGTTCACCAGACTTTAAGACTTTCAAGCTAACATGTCGAACCTGTTTAGGCTAACCCACCTTGTGCTGCTCAAGCTAACACATTTGCACTGTTCAAGCTAACACACCGGAACTCCTGTTGAAAATGCAAATGCCATCCTAAGGGTATGGCCAGCAAAAACAGCAATCCCCTGAAACTCGCACCTCTTTCTCACCTTTCCCTTTTCAGCTTAGCTACATCTGCTTTTTCTTAACCCCAAAAAAGTGTCCAAGAAGTTATTTTAGCAGAAAGATGGCCTCTTAGCTGAGATGGTCTGGCCTTTTCGAGACCGTATATTTGAGCTCTAACACCTTCATCCACATTTAGACACCAGTAGAGGTGTAGAGCCGCTTCCTCCAGGCTGAAGTCTGGGTAGATTGCTGAGCCAATCCTGATTATCGTCTGTTTCTGTGTGGTAGGACGCAGCATCAGGTCTCTAGCATGACGGGCAGGAACGCAAACGACTCCCAGAAAATGCCCCTGAACGACATTTAAAACAGGACAGAATAGTGAAGAGAACTTTACCGAAGAGTCCGCCGCCAGCCTGGCCTTTCCTCATCAGGTACATGGCCCAGGACAGGGGGCCCGAGCTGCCCAAGGCCCCTGGATTCATGACTCAATCCTCCAAACAAAACGAGAGACCCCCAAAAAATTCCCCTTCTCCACTTTTCTTCACCTTCAACTCCTGCTTTTATATCCTTTGATTCCTCCCCTCACCCACTGTGTTCTACTCACCCTACATATCTGGAAGTGCAAAAGAGTGGGAGGGATTCGGAAGGAGGGCGAGAGGAGGGGGAGATATCCACTGAAGCTTGATTCATTCCTTCCTCCTGTAAAGTGTAGCCCCAGGGGACAGAACTTCACTTTGCCCTAAGGCTCTTTAAGGCTGCTAATTTCATTTAGCTTTTAAAATGATTTTCTCCCTCCTTTCTCCAACCCTCCAGTTTTTTTTTTCTGTCCCCGTCTTCCTTTCACCATTTTTAAGGTCTGTTAAAAATTGAGGTCACCTCTTGAACAACAGAAGTGAGACTGAAGCGTCGCACCTTCATCAGCCTGAAGATGATGCTTTTCTCTCTAAAGAGGCCTGTTAGTTTGATCATTGGATTTAAATGTTTTTACTGTTTTTTTTAAAAGAAAAATTGCTTAAATACTTCGTTTTTCTATGGATTTAGGGCTGTGACTTTATTCAGAGCTATAGAGGACAACAGTTCTAGTATGTTAATAATGCGTCCACTCTGATATAATCAGTCTATAAACACAGAAATGTGATTGTAGAGGTAAAGATGTAAAGTTTTTACTCTTTTTTACTGTTTTCATGTAGAGGTGATGTAACTTAGCTCTACCTTTCTTGGGTTATCCTGAGCTATTTTCTGTGCTGCTACAGGCTCAATCTGCTGGAAGACATAGGTAC